ACAGATTCGGACCTTACATCTTTCCATTAGTGTCCCCTCACACATTTAGTTTCAGTGAATATGATGTTTGGTATCAGTAAGGAGCCCTGGTGGTGCAGTGGTGAAGCTCTCAGCTGCGAACCTACAGGTCGGCAGTTTGGACCACCAGCAGCTACACGGGAGAAAGATGTGGCAGTCTCCTTCCATGAAGATTGTAGCCTTGGAAACCCCGTGGGGCAAAAGTTCTACTCTTTCCTCCAGGGTCGCTGACTCAGAAAATGCACAACTGACGACAGCACCAACAGCACTGGGCTTGGGTGTGGGTCCATGCTAATGAGCATAGTCCCTCAGAGGAAGCTCGGCACCAAGGCTGCAGGTGTGGTGACCCCCAAATGTCATTGCTTCAGAACCCTGGAACTCAGACCCTGTAGTCTCTGCTTGAACGAGTTGGTTTTTCCTGCTGTTTTTATGAATGTTGATGTTAAGATGAATTTCAGAGTTAATATTTTTTTCTTACTGCTCATTTCTTAATTTGTTCTAACTTTTAGAAGAATCTTTGAAACTGAACAAGTGGAAAATTATTTCTTTTAAAAATAAGCACATTTGGGTTCTGGTACACAGCAAATTCCCTGTGAAGAAGAGTTCCAAATTTGTAATTTTGTTTGCATTTCCATAAACACAGAGAATCTTGGTCTGTGCTTATTATGTGACAAATAACAGTGTCAGCAGTGGGGTTTTGTAAGACTCTAATTAAGGCACATGCCCCATCCTTGTTGGTGCATTTATAGTGTGAAGCAATACAAAACTTCAACTGCTTTAACTGCTTCAAAAGTTATTTTTTTTAATGCCAGTACCTTAATTAATTTTCACTGACATTGACCTCATTTAAAGTAGTTCAAATGTTAAAATAATAAAATCTGGTCTTTGGGGTCATAGGTTGGGGTCCCCAGGAAGCAGATTCTGAGAGAGAGATGAGCATGCAGAGGTCTAGTGGGGTCAACACCTGTGGAGGGGAGGCGGGGCCAGGGCTGTGAGAGGTCTAGTGGGGTCAACACCTGTGGAGGGGAGGGAGGAGCCAGGGCTGGTACATGGGGAAGTTGAGCTGCAGTGCAGGCCCAACCTCAGCCTCAGCCAACCCCACAGTGAGTCCTGAGGCTGAGATGGGCCTTTAAAGAACTGTCTCCCAGAGGTAAGCTTCCATACCTCACAATGACGAAGAGCCTGGGACATAGGCTCCTCGGTTCTTACTGTGTCCTAAGAGTTGCAGGTCCAGGATGGCAAGGAAGGGGCTGAGAATTCCAGAACTGCAAAGGCCATGTGGCCAAGGCCTGTGGATGAGTTAGGGGTGGCCACTGTGCGTGGATACCCTTCTCTCCTGAAGAAGAAGCTGGGCAACCCTGAAGGAGGGGGACCGACTCTGGTCATGTTCCCTTCTCTCTGTTGTTGTTGTTGTTATGTGCCGTCGAGTCGGACCTGACTCATAGCAACCCCTCCTTGGGTTTCCGAGGCAGTATCACTATGGAAGTGGATTGCCCAGCCTTCCTTCCGAGGAGTGGCTGGTGGGTTTGAACCGCCAGCCTTCTGGTTAGCAGTCAAGTGCCTTAGGCACCTCTGACTATGTAAATTTGAATTAAAATCAAGTAAAATGTAAACATCAGTTTTTCAGTTGCACTAACCACATATCAGAGCTCTGGTGGTGTAGTGCCTAAGGCATTTGACTGCTAACCACAAGGTTGGTGGTTCAAACACACCAGCCACTCTGAGGAGGGAAGACTGGGCAATCTACTTCCATAAAGATTTACCACCTCGGAAACCCAAAGGGGGCCGCTGTGAGTCAGAACTTAACAGCACTGAGTTTGGGTTTTGGTTTGTACCCCGTATCAAATGCCCAATACCCACAGGTAGCTAGTGGCTGCTGTGTTGGACAATGGCAGACATGTCCCTGATTGCAGACAAGTCTTCAGGACAGCCTAACACCTGCGACCTCTTGCGTCCACCAGGAGCGAGCTCTTGTCGATCTCTCTCCTTTCTGAGGGAAAATCAGTAGCAACTGAGAAAACAAATCATAAAAAGCTTCCCATTTCCTTAAGGGGCAGTGGTCAGCAATGTGTGGGAAAATACTCTCAGTGCGTCCTACTCATTCAGTCAGAGAAAAGGCAGAAAACCTGATGAAGTTTCCATGATAAAAAGTCTAAACAGTCATACTCTGTCACGGTGGTGCCCAAAAATTCACCATCATTAGCCAGCAAGAAATTAATGCCAAGCAACAAAATTATGGCATTCATATATTTTAAAATAAAGCAAACATTTTAGAATTGGCCTCCTCCAAAACAAACCTCATGTGATGGTCAGACAGCCCTGTGTTAGGCACAGTCTCAGTGACTCATCTCCTTTCATTATTCAGGAAGCAGCGCCTCGGGGCTTCTAATGGGCCACTCTTCTGTTGCGTTCTTTACACTTTTGTCACGCACACTGTACCTCTTTTCTTACATTTCTGAACAAACTTCCACCCTTGAAATTTAATGTCTTCAGTACATTATTTTGCTCTTTCCTTCTGGAGTCTCAGAAACAGTCTGTCCATTGCACAATCCATTTGTGATGCTTAAGTGTCTCTGTCCCCCATCTGCTGGTCAGTACATTTATCAAAAGGGTGGGGCCTGAGCAGTCCCTTTCTTTCTGCATCACATGTAGACCCTCCCACAAAGTCAGTAGGAACACGAAGTCATGCTAATGTTTATGTGCTTGGGTATAAGGTTGCAGAACTAAGTCACACATACATACACATATAGTGTGTTTATAAAATAGGATAGAAAATATACAACTGCATTATTAAAAAGAATAAGAATAGACTGGTTGGTTGGGAGTTCTTTGTGATGGCAAAGGGCAATGGATGCCATCATGGGCAGATTCTTGAGCGGAGCACTTACTTCCCCGAGTTCAATGCTCCCATCCATCAGACAGAAGTCCCTCCTTCATTCGCTCATGCATCATTCCTTTATGGAAGGCTTTCTAGGTTTCTGACCAATGGAGCCTACAACCAAGAATCCAAGCAAAACAAATTACCCCACATGTTAATTTGATTAAGTGCCCAGGACTCCAGTGCAAAAGTCTAGCAAATGTTGTCTCAGAGAATGTGGCTTAGGACTGAAGCCACACCAGAGCATCTAACTTTCTTCCCAAATATAGACCTTGAGTCCAGCATGCTTGCCTGAGCCAGCAGATGGGAGTGGGGTGGTGATGAGGGCCCCAAAGTCCAAGCCTAGTGGTTTTCCTTGGTCAGTTGCCTGGACCTGGACCATAGCTGTGTAACAACCAAGTCTCAGGCAGGACCCAGAGGAGGCAGAGTGTTCTCACCTTCTTTCACGTTAGTGAGCCTGCCCACCAGAGAGACGTGGCCCAGCAAACACACCATTCTCCTCCCAAAGTGAATGACTAATGGGTGTGGAGAGAGGCAGGCACTCCTACTCCAGACCACTGTCCTCCTGGAAGGGCAAAATGCCCTCCTTGGCCAGGGGGCCAAGGACAACAAGAAGGAAAAAAAAAACAAAACAACAAACTCACTGCCATCGAGTCATTTGCAACTCATAATGAGCCCATTGGGTTTTTGAAGATGTAAATCTTTAAAGTAGATCACCCCATCTTCCTGTTGGGCAGCTGGTGAGTTTAAACCACTGACCTTCCAGTTAGCAGTCAAGTGCCTTATCCGCTATGCCACCAGAACAGATGAGGTTTAAAATTTCTTCTCTCCTGACCAGTAATGTTGGGGCTGGGGGCTCATATCAAATCTGTGAAATACCTAGTACAGGCAGGCATATGCCTAGCACACAGTGGGGTCCATTAAGCTCTCTTCATGCTGCTTTATTATGAGCAGCTTGAGGAAATAATTTCAAAGTCTCTCATATTGTGCTGGGTGGGAATGACCTTTGTCGTCTGCATTATGTTTGTTGAATGGAGTTCGTCATTTTCATTGATTGAGACCTCAGCATGTGTAGCCCTGCATTTCTTTAGTTTTTTTTAAAAAAAGGAGCCCTGGTGGCACAGTGGTTAAGTGCTTTGCTGCCAACTGAAAGGTCAGTGGTTCAAACCCACCAGCTGCTCTGCAGGAGAAAAGCCTTGGTGAGCTGCTCCTGTAAAGGTTACAGCCAAGGAAACCCTGTGCGATGATTCTACTCTGTCATACTGGGTCCCTGTGAGTCGGAAGGGACTTGATGGCACCCGATACCACCACGGGTAGAGTTATGGGAGTTTTCAGACCCACAAGGAACTCCTAAGATCATAATTGAATCACCTCATCCGACAGAGAAGAAAGCCATGGCCCTGTGTCCTGGGAGAATAAGGACTTATGCTTTCAGCTTGGGGGACTTTCCACTGGAGCCCATCCATGGGGGCTCCTCAGAGGCAGGCTCTCACTCACATCTGTGTCCCCAGCACCCCCAACAGTGCCTGACATGGTTTTGGCTCTCAGGAAATCTGTATCCCACTGCTCGGTCTTTGGCAATCTGAAGCATAGCTTGTGGTTTTCCAAAAATAATGTGAACAGATAGAAGGTATGATAGAACCTTCTCCATACAACACAGAAGGGCTTAAAGTTAGACTCTTTCATGAAATAGTTGGTGAAAAATTAAAACGTTTTAGCATCTTTAAATGGGTGTATATATATGTATATGTATGTGTATTGGTATATATGTATATATATGTTTGTGTATGTGTATACATGTACCTGTATATATATACACATGTGTATAATGATACATATACATGGATGTATGTGCATATATGTGTGTGTATATGTACAGGTATATGTGTATATATATTTGTATGTATGTCTATGTATATGTATTGTGTGCATGTATATGTATATATATATATGCCTGTATATGTGTGTGTGCATGTATATGTGTATATGTATGTATGTATGTGTGTGTGTGTGTGTATACACACACATAAAGAGAGAAGGAATGTCTTTAAAGGTACATCAGGGATTACCATACCACTTAGTTTGTGTTGCATTTTTATTTCAGGTAGGAGAAGTTTTCACAAGTGGCCGGAAGGCATCCACATCTGTGAAGACGACCTCAGACATCATCAAAGAGCAAACAAACCGAAGGTAACACCCAAGGATCTGTCCTTAGCTTTATTGTGTTCTCTTCACTGTTGTTCGTTGTTAGAATGTAGCATCCAAAAAGACACAATTAGTTGAAGTTTAAAATTTACTGATAGTATGAATGATTTGTAGGTCCACAAACCTGTGCCCACACAGGACCCCATATCTTGTGATAATAATGAGAAGAATGAAAATACCCATACCCATGACTGCCAACACTGACCGAACGCTTACTATGTATTTTGTGTGATTTCAGCCCATTGAATCCTCACAGTGTTCAGACAGGGAGACTGAGGCAGAGAGAAGTTTAGTGGATGTCCCCGAGGTCACGTAGCTCTGATGTGTTGGGGTGGCTGGCAGGAGTCCTGCTCACACCGCTGCTACCCTGCCTCCTTTCATGAGCCACGAGTTACTCCGTAGATTCTGAGATTCTAGGGGCCACAGTGTACCCTCCCCGTGATCTCTGAACCGTCAGCTTCCTTCCAGCCTCTGCTTAAATCCCAGCAGAACCCTCACCCTCTCAACAGAGTGTTGGTCTCGGCCGCAGTCTGCCTTCAGTCTTAGCTAGCTCTTCATCTGCCTCTCTCTGGGCTCTACTCAAGGGTATTGGCTCGGCCCCTGGAGTCCCTCAGAACAAGATGCACCTCCCCTCAGCAGCGACATCCCTAAAAGTATTTTGGACAAAACTCCCATATCTCTCGGCCCTTCTCTAGAATGAGTATCCTGGTTCTTCCAACTGTCCTACTACCTGTCGGGATTTCCTGCCTCCCCCACTCCAGATGGTAACGTCTATTTTGAACCAAGGCAAACGATCTTTGCGATACAAATGCATATGCCAGAATTACCATCATAGAAATACCTGCACAAATGATATATTTATGTCTTGCATAATAGAGGCAGGTATACTCAAAGACAACTGTATTTTAGGAGTTTTGTAGAGATTTTCAAGCATGGAGTCTGTTTGAACAGCAGGTATGGAATTGACAGTGAAGTGGGAAAGGAGGTGGGAAAGGCCCTTCTTGTTACTTTGGGGATTTGTGTGACCCTCAAGTGCCCCAGGTTTAGCTGCTCACTGTTTATCACCCCTAGACTCCAGATTAATTAAATTCTTCCATGCAATTAGTTCTCATAGCACCGAAGTAGGGGAGCTGCAGACAACTGGATACTGGCTAGTTTGTCATTTGTGACTGAAATCCCACAAGTATGGCCCAGGTGTTATGCCTGGAAGGGATATGCTGCTTTTCCTCAAAGTCAAGGACAATATAATTATCATAGATGCATTTAGACATTTCCTTAATTAAGCCACAGCTAGCATAGCCTTTTAAGGAAGAACATAGTCATTAACAGGAGAGCTTTATTTAATAATGGCTGTAGTATAGGTCCTCGAACACTGTAACTTCCTGCATTAGCATTAGGAAACATTTTCCAAACCAGAGACTACCATGCTAATGCAGCTGGTCATTGTTACTGTCATTATTAATACTTACACAGTTAGTCCATCAGCTTTGGGGATTCGCTAGAATGTAGTCTCCTCAAGGTTAAGATTCATCACAGTGAAAGGATGCAAAGCAAAATCAGTGAAGGGTGAAGTCCGGAAAACCTGGTGCACGTTTCCAAGAGTCCTCTCTGAGTGGAGTGTCACGGGATGTACTTACTTCCTCCAGCAAGGGGTTGTGACCCTTGTCAAGTACTGTCTACCAGGGAAGTTCACTAGCAATTCTGTGCTCAGGGTTTGTGTTGGCGGCTGGTCACTTAGGTACTCTTCCTAGCAGGTACTAAAATTCAGACTCCCAGAAGGAAAGCAGGTGGTTAGCATCAACATTGCTTGCACAAACAGCCCAGCCACGCTCCATATTTGTTTATGGACAGTTTACCATCCAAGGTCTCAGAGGCCAATCATGCAGGCAGCTTTCTGAGGCCAGCAGTCTCAGGGAGGCAGCCCCCAGCACTGTGGCGGCAGTTACTTCCAGGGCACTGGTATCACTTCCTGCGTGCCTAGTCTCCAATCCTTTTAAAGGCAGAGGAGCCAATGAGTACCATGGCACTAATGAGCACCCGGTGTGTTCAGGAAATGGCCACAGCCCTGATCATTTAGCTACAGGCGTGGTCTCCCCTGGGGTCTTTCACCGCCCCCCCCCCAATCCAAATCCTTAAACACCTTCAAGGCATCTTCAGACCCCTCTCCCCCTCCTCCTTCCAGGGCCACAAGTCCATTTCAATTTCTCCTCCTGCTGCACACAGTTTATAAGTGTGCTGCCTAGGCCTTCGAACAGATTATTGTATGCTCTTTGTATACTTTGTCTTTTTCCTCAGGGGGCACGTGTATGAGTGAAAATGGTAAGAAAAGTAGGGGAAAAAAACAAACAAACCAACAATCTCAAATGCCTTCAAGAACTAAGTAGGTTACAGAAATGAGAGGGGATGTTGCAAGGACAGGAGAGTTTGAACTCCCCCCCACCAAAAAAAGAAAATTGAATGTCCCTGTCCCCAACAAGACGTTTCTGTGGGTGAATTTAGTCTGAGGACCGTCCATTTGGAGCTCCCAGCGCAATTGTGATTGTCTTCATCACAGACAGCATTCTTACTTCATTTCCTTATCCTCCAATAACAAAACCAAACTCACTGCCATCGAGTCGTTTCCAACTCACAGTGACACTGGTTGGGTTTCTGAGCCTGTAAGTCTTTACAGAAGTAGATCGCCACGTCTTCTTTCCATAGAGAAGCTGGTGGGTTTGAACTGCTAACCTTCCGGTTAGCAGTCAAATGCCTTATCCACTATGCCTGCAGAGTTCCTTATCCTCCAATAGTACAATAATAATATTTTTTCATTTATTCAACAAGTGTTTATTCAGTAAAGCTATATGCCAAGGACATGAGATGAAAAAGACAAAATCTTTGTCTCAAAGTCGTCCATCTAGTGGGGGAGCAGAGCAAAATGAAACAATTCCCTGACAATGTGGTAAGCCTGCGTCGGAGCACCACATTGCACTGTGAGAGGATCAGGGCTTGTCCATTTGCACAGACTGGGGCATGCCTGGTGCCTAGCATGGCAGCTGGAGTATGTTGGTGGTAGCTGCCGTCGAGTTCACTCAGCGTTATGTGAAGCAGATGTAAGGGCGCTGTCTGGCCCTGCACTGTCCCCACCACCAGCAGCGCGCAGAGTTCGTCGTCCAGCTCCTGTGCCGCTCCATCGGCCCGAGGCTCCCTGCTGTGCTGGCACTGGTGAGGATGAGGCTTGATGGCTTCTAGGTATCGATCCCTGCTGATAATGTATTCAAAGCACCGAAGTCAGGCGATGTTCTATTGTAAGCCCTGGGGTTTTCCTTGGCTGATTTTCAGAAATAGATTGCCAGGCCTTTCTTCGTAGTCTGACTTAATCTGGACACTCCACTGAAGTGTGTCCACCATGAGTGACCCTGCTGGTATTTAAAATACCAGTTGCATAGGTTCTAGTATCCTAGCAACACACAAGCCACCACAATTTGACAGACTGACTGACGGGGTTGTGAGGGGTGGGCACTTGATGTGTGTGTTGAATGAGTAAATGAATGAGTGTGTAGTGACTCTGAAATAATTTGAACAACAGAATCATGGGGAGAACTTTATATAAATGCAGTTTATTGGGCCCAGTTCAGGCCTGTTGAATCACAATTGCCAGGAAAGTGGCCCTATGACCTGTACTTGCTACAGAGTTCCCCATATGGCTAGGATAATGGGAATCCTTGGCCAGCTGAGGGCCTTCCTTGTTCTGTTTCATTCTTGCTGTTGCTGAGAGAATGGGCTGAGGGTGGTAGAAGAAGTTCTTGTGGGAAGGGAAGCGGGTGGGTAAGGTGTGCTGTGCACCTGACCTTGGAGGATCAAACCACGGCAGGTTGGATTGTCTGAGCAGCAAGATCCCATAGCTTGAACAGCTGCCTGCAGGAGTGAGAACTGCCTAGAGCAGCCCTATTGTTGATCCTTACTGAGGGTTTTGCCTGCTGTATCATTTCAGTCATCGGAAATATCTCCTGGTAAGCAGAGTCCCTCAGGTGACCTCTCCTACAGCTACAAGGGATTGGCACAGCCCTGCAATACATTTTAGAACTTAATTTTGTCAGATGTCAGACTCCTGCTTCTATAAGACTCGATGGCAGTTGAAGCCAGGGCCAGTGTCATAGTTTTACCTCTGTGCTCCTGGAAGAGCGCTTGATGATGTTTGTTGAAGAATGAATGAATGAATCGAATGTATTTAACGCTTAATTTTAAATGATGTCATATTAATTGCCCTTTCCCTTGTCATTGTTGTTATAGAAGCAAGCAAATTGAGAAGCTCGAAGTAGACCCTAGCAAGCATTCATTTCCTGATGTGGCTAACATTGTCCAAGAGAAGAAACACCCACCCAGCAGAGCTGGATCTGAACCAAAAAGTACACCGAGTAAGGACAACCCAGATTTTGAAGATAACCCTGACGTGCCTCCATTGATTTGAAGCAACAGGCTATGTTGCCATTGACTGTGACCCACCAGACCCAGTTTGTCTCAGTGTAGGATGTATGTGTATCATTTATGGGGTAAGCACAGAGCTATTTATCAATATTACTACGCCAATGTTTTAACTCTCCTACTTTGTATAGTATTACCCTAAAACTAATTTAGAATTAAAATACGTACCCTAAATATGCGATAACGGATCAATTGTCTATCATAGGATGTTGGCTAGTGAAAGTGTTCCATGAATCATAGAACTGTTACACAAAAGATTGATCATAAATCGCAATGCTCTGCTTATGCAGCTAGGTCATAGATAAAAGCACTCATTATTAAATTTTACCTCAGCTGATTGGTCAAGCTCAGAGATGTTAAACCTAATTTCAGGTTAACTTGGAACGCTTTAATGTGTTAAGTAGCGTTTTAGTTTTCTTCTCTGGATGTGTCTGCTTTCTCTGGAAGCATAGTACAATGGCAATAATATCAGTTTTGAAATGAAACAGCCTAAAGTCGGATTCCACCTAAGTCACTGTATAAAGATCTTTGGTAAGTCCTTTAACCTCTCTGAGTTTTAGTGGACTTGTCTGTAACTGGGGAGTAATAATACTTGCTTCAGAGGTTTGTCCCAAGATCAACTACGTACAGTGCACGTACAGCATTTGTTGTACGTTTGCTATGTCCTCTTCATCCTTCTCCCTTTCCTCCTCTCTTGTACCCTCCCTCTCATTCCTTACTGATGTCCTCCATTACTTTTCTCCCCTTCGCTCTTTCTTCTTTTCCTTTCTTCCTCGCCACCCTGCTCTCGCTACACCTGTCTTCATGCTTTTTGATACTTGTGTTTCTTATTTATCTAGTGCTGCTATAACAGAAATGCCCGTGTGTAGGGCTTTAATGAGCAGAAGTTTATTTTCTCACAGTTTAGGAGGCTGGAAGTCTGAATTCTGGTCACCAGCTCTAGGGGAAGGCTTGCTGTCCCTGTTAGCTCCAGGGTAAGGGCCTCGTCGTTAGGATTGCAGTGTCTGTGCCTAGATTCTTTGCAGTCTTCCTGTGCCACGGGATCTGTCAGAATTTTGGTGTCTGTTCCTAGACTGCTTGCAGTCTTCATGTGACATGAGATCTGTCAGAATTTCAGTGTCTGTTCCTAGATTCCTTGCTGTCTTTGTGCGCCACGGGATCTGTCAGAATTTTTGTGTCTGTTCCTAGATTCCTTGCCGTCTTCATGGGACACGGGATCTGTCTTCACCCATCTGGGTTTGCTTGTTTCTCTGCCCATTCTGCTCTTTTCATGTCTCAACAGTGATTGGATTTAACACACACCCTACACTGATATGGCTTCATTAACATAATAGAGAAAACGCTATTCCCCAAAGGGATGACATCCACAGGTATAGGGGTTAGGATTCACAACACATGTTTTTTGGTGATGCAGTTTAGTCCATAGCATTATGCTCTTTGTTATCCTTACCATTATTAAGTAAGTATTTCATATACAGTATAGGAAAAAGTGTTACTCAGTCTGTGATATACTAGCATTTACATCAGCATCTAAACCAAATATTCGTTCAACAAATACTTCTTGAGCAACTATTTTGAGTGTTAGGCACTGTTCTAACCTTTGTCAAGTTGATTCTGTCTCATGTTGATCCTATAGGACAGAGTATAACTGCCCCATAGGGTTTCCTAGGCTGTTATCTATGGAAGCAGTCTGCCACCTCTTTCTCCCACAGGGTGGCTGGTGAGTTTGAACTGCCAATCTTTAAGTAAGCACCCAAAACTTTAACCCCTGCACTGCCACGGCTTCTAGGCAGTACCTTCATCATCAGGAATTCAGTAGTATTAAATAAGCAATTAAACATATAATATGTCAGGTCGCAGTAAAAGCTGTGAAGGAAAGTTGAACACAGTAAAAGGATCAAGGGTGATGGGGGTGTTTTTTTAAGACAGGGTGACCAGGGAGTTCTTTCAGATAAGCTGACTTTTTAGCAGAGAACCAAAATGTGTCAGTCAGGGTTTAATTGGGAAAACTGAGCTATTATAAAAGTGATGGGAATATCCTATTGCCATCACATCAGTTCCAACTCATAGTGCCTTAGAGGACAGAAAAGAACTGCCCCATAGGGTTTCCAAGGCTGTAATTTTTATGGAAGCAATGCCCAAACCAAACCCACCACCATCAAGTTGATTCTGATTCATAGCACCCCTGAAGGACAGAGTGGAACTGCCCCAAAGGATTTCCAAGGCTGTAATTTTTATGGAAGCAGACTGCCACATTGTTCTCCTGCAGAGCAGCTGGTGGATTCAAACCACCAATCTCTCAGTTAAGCAACCAAGTGCTTGACCGCTGTGCCTTCAGGGCTCAATGGCAATACAGGATTGATTATAAGAATTGACTTTACACAAATGTGGGAGGAGATGAAGAAGTAAAGTTCTGGAAGGGAAAGGTGAGGGATTGGAGGAAGAATACTAGCAGTCCACCTGAGCATAGGTACAAGTGGACAGACATGTCAGAGCTTGCACAGAATCAGAGAAGCTGAGCTCATCAGGATGCTGTAGGGTTGTAGGGGAGCTTGTGGGGAAGTCTATGGAATTTAGAAGCTCTGGGAAGCTATTGCCTGTATGTAGTTGCTGCCTCTTAGATCCATGGCCAAGCTCCTGGTCGGTGGGCTTGGGACTACTTTGTTCAGCAGACCTGCAGTGAGGCAGGTAAGATAGATGCAGAGCAGAGGAGAAAAGGGCAGGCTGGTGTCCGTGAGCACTTCTGCATCTGTCCGTCACTATATGTGACGCCAGTGACTGTCTGACTGTAGCACCTTCTACTTCAATTCTGGACTTCCCAGACATCAAGTCCATTTCCCTTTTGGTGAGCTCTACTCAGGAACTGTGCAGAGAAGGGGACTCTGGGAAGGTGACATTGCACAATCCAAAAGGGTACAACACTTATCAACTTAGCAACCACATACATTTATCATAACGATATTTAACTTAGGAGTTCTCTGGTGGTGTAGTGCCTAAGGCACTTGACTGCTAACCAGAAGGTTGGCAGTTCAAACCCACCAGCCACTCCTTGGAAGGAAGGTTGGCAATCTACTCTGTAGTGATATCACCTCGGAAACCCAATGAGGGGTCGCTATGAGTTGGGTCCAACTCGACAGCACATAACAACAACAAACAACATATTTAACTTACAAATAAAGACAAAGTAAAAGGACACTATGACTACCCCGATGCAGTTATCCCTCAGACAGCGGGAGACACACTGTCCCCATCCGCAAAGGACACACAAGGCGCCATCTGCACTGTCACCATCTTTGGGTGACGGTCAATTCCTCCTAGAGGAGTCACACTCCCCTTTTGATACCCTATAAATTAAATGTTGAGAAATAAAGTTAACCACTATTAATATATTTTATAATGGGAGAAGGAAAACAGAAATGTGTGTGTGTATAACATATGTGTGGAGAGAGAGAGAGAGAGAAATTTACACACAAAGATATTCAGAGAAGGCCAGGGAGAAATATCCCTAGACAGTCCGTGTTCTTGCAGCTGATCGTGCGGTTGTAGCTTGTCACCAGTATTCATAGCGTTTTTCTTCTACTCCTTATTGACGTTACCTTTACCCTCAGCAAGCACCTCAGTTTGTCGTGGCTCCTTGCCTGGTGGGGTGACCCACGCTCCATCCCTGAGATTCTGTGCCATTTGAAGCTCCGTGTATATTGAGTTATTTAGTTTCTGTTGAAGTCCCACAAAACATGGAAGTACTAACAGATGCCCCAGCATCTCCTGCACTTGTGGGACACTTCCTCCATCACACTCTTCAGCGCCCCACTGTGAATAATAAACTGAAAGGTTTGGTTGCTGAAAGACAGCTTAGAGTCTATCTGAATCTCTATTCTCTCAGTTCCTCTTGGCTTCTGGGGAAGCAAGCTGAAGACCATTATCTTACCCCAAACGGACAAGCCAAAGACCACACCCACTACCATTGAGTCAATTCTGATTCATAGCGAATCCCGCAGGACCGAGTAGAACTGCCCCCATAGGGTTCCAATGCTCTCAATCTGTACGGAAGCACACTGCCTCATCTGTCTCCTACAGAGCAGCTGGAGTGTTCAAACTACTAATCTTTTGGTTAGCAGCCGAATGCTTTACCGTGAATAGTAACCATTCGGTTTTCCTGTGCTAGTCCACAATATACAGATATGCAGATGACATAAGCTTGCTTGCTGAATTGAAGATGACTTGAAACACTTACTGATGAAAATCAAAGACTGCAGCCTTCAGTATGGATTGCTCCTCAACATAAAACAAAATTCCTTACAACTGGACCAGTAAGCAACATCACGATAAACGGAGAAAAGATTTGAAATTGTCAGGGGTTTCATTTTACTTGGATACATAATCAGTGCCCATGGAAGCAGCAGCCAAGAAATCAAATGACATATTGCATTGGGTAAATCTGCTGCAAATAAGCTCTTTAAGGTGTTTAAGAGGAAAAATGTCACTTTGAAGACTAAGGTGCAGGTGACCCAAGTCATGGTCTTTTCAGGTGCCTCATATCCATGTGAAAGCTGGATAATGAGTAAGGAAGACAGAAGAATAATTGATGCATTTGAATTGTGGTGTTGGCGAAGAATACTAAAAATACCGTGGACTGCCGGAAGAAAAACAAAAAGTACAGCCAGAATGCTCCTTAGAAGCCAGAATGGCCAGACTGTGTCTCACATTCTTTGGTCATGTTGTCAGAAGGGACCAACCCCTGGAGAAGGATATCATGCTTAGTAAAGTAGAGGGTCAGCAAAAAAAAAGGGAAAGACCCTCAGTGAGATGCATTGAGTCACAATGATTGGCTCAAGCATAGCAAATATTGTGAGGCTGGCACAGGACCAAGCAGTGTTTTGTTCTGCTATACACAGGGTCGCTACGAGTCAGAGCCGACACGATGACACCTAACAACAGTCATATCACCCCAGCTACTACAGTAACTTCCTTCTTTGCCTGCTGACT